CCATAAAATCTTTAAAAAATGTATGAATTTGGTATCTGGAACAAAACTGACGAATCAGATTTCACTAATCACTTTTCAGAGCGTGTAAATAATTATGATTAAGTAAACATTGCTGCAAACACAAAAGGGATCAAATAAAATAGTTGAAAATCGAAGGATTATTTTATAACCCTGTAGCTTGTCAGTATGTTGAGCGGCTTTGAGTGTGACAAAATTTCAATGTTTGGTATAAATTTGTTTTTGTGATTTGGTTAAAACGACAATAAAACGATTTTTCAACCCCCTTTTCCGGCTAGTAGGCGTCGGTGGTGTTCGATTGCAGTGCCGGCCAGGATAAATCTATTCCCGCGAGCGCAATCACGCGACCGGGAAACGTTTGTAAATTAAATTGGCCAGCCATCAGGGGAACAGGGATTAAACCGAATCCGGAGATGTCGCTCGGCTCTGGAAATTAAACGTTGTCACGGCGGCGTCCGAATCCTCCGGCTGGAAATTGGGTCCGCGTCGTCTCGCGAGGATTGGATGAACGGGCGATTTGCATACTATTGTCGGGACAAAGCAATCACGAGCGATTTACACGACGATAAAGTTTCCGCTGACACGCAGACGGAAAACTATCTTAACCTGGGAAAAGAGCTGGTCATTGACTACAATTTATGCTTACATCACAAAGTCCATAGAATGACTAAATAAAGTAATTGAGTGATATGTTTAATACATCCTTCTGCCTATGTTCGTTATTTCGCCATTAAAGGTTTGTGAAAAACGACCGAACTTATTTATTTTCATTTTTCAATGGCACCTCTGTTTTGTTCCTTATGATAATTGAAACAGCAGAGTAAAGGGGTGGTAATGAGTTAATTTTGTAACAATTAGCAATAGGATTTCTCTCAAGACGGGGTCCGCCTCATGCTTGGAATAATTTAAATATTTTCCTCCCCATGGCGATTACTCCTTCTAACTTGTGCCTGTGCTCCTGGAGGGTAATGCTCACGGAGATATGCAAATGAAATGCTTCATATTCTCGTTGCCCGGCCTTGCCCTCCCCCACTGTCACCATTGTTTATCTCCGATTTATCTCCCCCTGGCAAAACTACACCGCGATAAATCCCTGGAAGAAGTCTCCAAAGCGACTGCGAATCAACACGGAAAGCCGTTACTTAACTTTTATAAATTAATTAATTAACTCTCGGAGAAAGGCCGCTTGGGTAATCGGCCTTAAATTCTTCGCGCCCCATTTCGGCCCGGGGCAAAAGACAATTAATTAGATGATATCCTCTAATTCTATTAACACTCAAGAGGCTAGCAAACGGCTTAATTAACCTTGAGCTTAATGTTTGAAACAGTTTTTGAAATATTGTCTTCTTATATCTCGTTATAGATCTCTCTAAAAATAATTCCAAACTGTTTATATTTTTCGAACTTCTTGGCAAAAAACTACTAGAGTACGAAATGATTTTAAACCTTATAAAGTCTCCTTCTGTATGAAAGCAATGAGTTAAACATTGGACAAAATTCATTTTATGAAATGAGAAAGCAAACCGCAAAAGCAGGTACCGGTTTATTGGCCCCTCATATTTCAGTATTTTTCTTCTTGTTCTTAACCAAGAATTCCATCCTTTCTAGAGACAATTTTTTATGCATTAAAAACGTTCAAATGAAAAAAGCATAACCGTTCGGTATCAACAATGATAGTTCTCAGGTGTTATATATCAAGCTAAGAGAACAAGCATGTAATTTTGATCAGATTGGATTCTCTCCTATGAAAACCTTGTCATATTTGACAATGTGTATTTATTCAAAGATTAGTGAATCGAATGATTAAACAACCGAGTAACATTTTCAATTGTGGAACTTTTTTTCAGCGATTATTCCTTATGATCTTCAAATATTTTAGAATATTTCTACCGAGCGTAGATTAAAGAAATTGACTGGCTTTCGGATGGATGTCGGGGCGCAAACATCCGGGAGGGGTGAAATTCCACCCTTGTGGACGAGGGCGTGTCGAGTTCCCAAATGATGTGTTTCATTTAATGGCCGATCTCCAGGATGGGGTGGTGCACTGTTTCCCAGGTGGTTTTCGAACCCTCGAATCGATACAAAGATTTATAAGTGAATTTGTACAAGGCCTATGTCCATTAATCTTGTCCAATCAATAGCTGGGGGCATGTATTTAACTGAACAAAATGCCAGAACCGAAGAGTCTTGAATGAAAGTGTATGCGAATAATACATGTCGGAGAATTTGTATTGTGATAAATTGTCAACGCGCAAGGACAGTACACAATTTTGATCGAAATGGTTCATTTATTCTTTTTCTCTCCTCTTCTTCTGTTGCATACATAGCTGCAAAAACACATACGTACATGCTTAATAACTATGAAGGGCAGATGGGAAAAGGTCAGACATACTAGCTTCAGAAGCTGAAGAATGCGACCTTTCGATATCGTTTTATAAAACGATAGGAGAAATCCTTGATACTAAAATCCTCTAAGCGTATAGCTGTGTAATAACCGGAGGGAAATGAGCGTAAAAGGATATTCTTTCCTAACGTTACCAAGCAGAAATTTGGGAGTTTTGATGGTGTGGTTTTGTTCTGCGTAACTGCAATTTTTGAATTTTCTGACGCGTTTATATTATTTTCTTTCTTTGTTTAGCTGCAGTTTTGAAAAAGAGATATGCATACATATAGAGAGAAAAAGAGAAAGATAGAGATAAAAAGAGGGGAAAGATCGAGAGAGAAATATAAATAAAGGAGTAATATCGAGAGAGAGAGAGAGAGAGAGAGAGAGAGAGAGAGAGAGAGAGAGAGAGAATAGACCTGGAATTACGTAACTTTTATCGAATGATATTTCATAAAACTTTCTTTACGTATCAATATGTGAAAAACAGTATTTGGACCTGATTAATGCATTTTACAAAGGATAATTATTGTTTTGCACATGAATGTAGATGACATGACTGTCGTCCCGCCTCGCCCTGGTTAGTCCCTGACGCCCCGTCTCCTAGTTCACCTGTATTCCAATGATTTTTAAAGTCGACAAATTGATAGAACTGATTAAAAAGAAAATAGCGTTGATTAACCAGAATCAAGCTTTCTGTTTTTACAGGACTAATATGTAAAATTGAAAGAAGCCTCGGCTCACCTGCTTATAATAGCCTTGATCTGCCTAGTCTTTAACTTTATTTTATTTAACAGCAGGCTATTTTTTATAAATACGACGGTGTTAAATTAGGGTATGAGGAGATATGTTTTCATTACCTAATTCCATTACTTTATAATGTCGTATGATATTTTAGTATCTGGATGAGTATGTTAACCATATAAATTTCCTTATTATTGGGGATCGACCTACGATTTAAAATGTTGCATGAAAGGATTGGATCATAGTTTAATCTCTAGTTATATGTTTGCCATCGTGATTTTATATTTTTCGTGATGGCTGGAGTGGTTAGAGCGTCGAACTCGTATTTGCTGGCCAAGGAGTTCTGGGTTCGAATCTCGGCATAACTATAACGTTTTAATTGGGAATAATATGCATTAAAGTATTGTAAAGTGGTACTGACCGCTTTATTTATTCATGACGCTGCGTGTAAGTTGGACGTTAAGCCTTCCTGTATGACGGGAATTATCCGGTCGAAACTTGGAGAGATCGCGTGGATCCCAATCCAACGACGGGTTTCAAGCGGTACCATGTACCAGAGAACCCGTCGGCGGAAAAAAACAACCCTGTTGGGACTCGGGGAATGCGCCTCCCGCACCCAAAAACCCGTCCAGACAGGGCAAGTGTGGGCAACCCCTAGTTTCGAACGAACATTCTACTCTCAGTGGACAACAAACTTTGTTGAAAATCTCTTCCATCAGTTGAACAGTTGCCGGATCAATCAAAAATTTCCGCAAAACCAATCGCCTAGTGAAGGCGATGCCGATTGATCAACTGACAGCTGGAAAATAGGTGACACGCGTTAAATCTTTCTTCAATATTACGTTAAAATGTCAAAACCAAAGTTTTATTATAGAAAAAATATAGTTTATATTGATATAGTTAAATCAATGAATTTATATGTATAATTTAAAATTAACATTTCACCATTAAAAAATTGTCTAAAGCTGATTCATGAAATATCCTGTTAATGTATTACACTTGTAACCAGTTTTGGTCAATAATGTTTCTAAAAACCTAACCTCAGACCATTCTCTGGCGAATTTTAGGTTCGTGAATGCTCAATTTTTAACTTAAATCATAATCCAGTTGTGATAATCTCATTGACCAATAAAATGAACAATGTTAAGTCAATTTTAGAAACTTTAATTGATCAATATGATCAATAACTAACAATACATGTAAGTAAACTAGTCCATTTTATTTAACCTAACCGTATTAACAGAATTGATTTTATTAGCATTTCTCAGCCTTCCATGCGTAATTGATCATGGTCAATTTGTAATCAATATCACACTGGAGTTTCACAGTTAAAAATAGTGTAAACTTAGCGCTAACGCTAACCTACAACAGTTCGAATTTTCCCTCTTTTTGTCCTTTTTCTTTTTTAGGTTGAGAGGGAGAGTCGGTGTCCGAGAGGATCGAAGTCACAATAACTCAAGTAGTAGAGTAGCGGCGCATTTAGCCGAAGGTCGTGGGTTCCAATCCTGGTCGTGACAGTGACTTTTTTATTTCAACCAAGACCTTACATAGAAAGAATAATTAATTGAAAAAAGTAACTTGCTCAATTGACCACTAAAAAACGTAAATAATCATTTTAACCTTGGTCAATTTTAGGGTAGTTAACCTATCAATACGTTGTTAGAAATTAACTTATAAAGTATAGTCAATTTTAAAATCTTAAAATTAGAGATCTGTTTTATTCGGGAAATTTTATCCCAGCCCCATAAAATTTACTGTTATTTAATTTCCTTGTTTCCTTTTCCTCCTCACCATGACACAAATGTCAACATTTATCAAGAATACATATTTTCCTTGACCAGTTGCCTTTCGACAGATATGTCATCACGGAACTGCTTCAGAGCGACTTGCACAAAATCATCGTCTCACCGCAACACCTGTCCTCGGATCACATCAAGGTCTTCCTTTATCAGATTCTGAGAGGTAAGTGGTATGCTTTTAAATGATTACTTGGCTTACCTTACGTAAATACTCTGGTAAAGGTCATAAATTATCTAATTAAAAAGTGATGTTTTCCTAACTTCATCTATACATAAGTATATCCTTTTTGTATTTTTAGCATTTTTTATAAAGAATTGCTTTAATAAGGCTTGATTTTCCATGGAAAAAATGGTTCGGGGAAAAGATGGCAATTAAAGTTTAACGAAGACGAATAAGTCTAACTTTTACAAGGATTAATACAAGCCCGGGAAAAACATCCCTGGCAACGAGTTTTTATTCCTTTTATATCTTTCCCCTAAAGCGATGGATTATCCTTTAGTTTAATCTCTTGATTCCCTTACAGAAATCGCCGTCGTGCAAACCTTTCTTATATGAAAACTGTTTAAAGTTAAACCTCACTCGAAAAATCATCCCTCGCTTGTCTTTCCCTCGGAAGTCGGGTTGTTTACTTTGTAAATTAAGGGGTTTCTAAATTAGAGAGAGAAGTGAGAGCGAGATGGGACACCGAGTGAAGGAACTCATTCCGGTGCCAATCCTCAGTTCAAAACGGGCGAGACCCTTTTGCCCAAGAGGTGGCAGTAATCTAACTAAGTGGGTCGCTAACATCTTAATTACTGTTTTAATTTAAAAAGAAAATCTTTTTCGCAAGAGACCCCGCGGAAAGACGTTCGTTCGAGATTCGACGTGAAAAGGACAGGCAGGAAAATTTCCGTGAAAACATCTATCAGAATAAAGCGGCAATATTTACCTAGTGACGGATAAGGCTGTGCAAGGATATTTGCCTAAAAAACAGTACACCGTTTTTCATAATATAAAATGAATATTACATATATGTACATACATCCATACATACATGCAGGCAGGCTGGCAAAGGGAGGGTGGGAGAGAGAGAGAGAGAGAGAGAGATAGTGAGAGAGAACCAGAGAGAAATAAAACAGAAGGGAGATAGAAAAACAGATGGGCGAGATAATTAGGTAAGTCAATTATGTAAAATAAAATAAGTTCAAAAAATGAGAGAAAGGGTGAAAATGGGAGAGGAGAAAGAGTGAGAGATTGAGACATATAAATATATAGACAGTAGAAGAGTAAAGAAAATAGACGAAAGTCAAAATGATTGAGGTTTTATTGGCAGGAGCAATCAAAGAATAGTGAGAGGGGAATAGTTCAGAAGAAGAGGTATTGTACAATATTATACTATACAAATTGAACAAATCCTGGAAGAAAACAATTAGAATAACAGATATACTTTAAGAAAAGAAAGAGACAATGATGAAAACATAAATGGATAAGTCAAAATATGGATATAGGCATAGATTCATTTGAAGAGCAGAAAAAGAAAAAGAGAGGGGGCGAGTGACTGAAATTAAATAAAAAGAAGTCGAATAAAGGCGGTACAAATTGTTTTTGAACTTTGAGAAATTTAAGATTATTAATAATTGGGAGGCTGTTTTAGTTACTTTGCGTAAAGATTGAAGAGGCAAGATATGATCGCCTGGAAGAAAATTTTTTTTGGTTGGTTCGTCACAACCAAAGACAATTTTCTGGCCCTAAATCACATCCTTTGTTCAGATGTTTTTCTCTCCATTCATCATGTTTTCCACGGAAGATAAAAATAAATTAAGGTAATAAATTAATTTGTCCTTTCGTTTCCTGTCGGTCGGTCCAGCTGGTAAAATCCATGAAATGTTTCGGATAATATTTCAGAATTGGAGACGATTGGGAGAGGTTAAATGCCGTTGTAAATCCATGTCAAACCTCGGTCCATATGTTATCTTTAACTGCGTCCGATGGGTACGAGCCGGGCAGATGTCTCCTGATAGAAGGGGGTCTTCGGGTTGAGTTTTTGTCAATTCTTCCCCGTATCGAGGCGAGTCGGTTTGAACGGTCTGAAGAGCCAATTCCGGTATTAAAAAGAAATGGGAAAGGATTATCTTCAGGCCCATTAATAACGGATTGTACAAGAGAGGAGTAGGAGGTATGCATTAGCATAAATTCGCACGGGAGAAGTCCCTAAGGGATTGTTATTGTCATCCCCTTTTATGGTTTGTACAATGGGTATTTTTTCCATAAACGCCGATTGATATGACGCTTCTTGACGTCAGAACACCCACTCTCGGAAAAGTATGGAAAACTGAAACAATTAACTTTCTAAAGAAAAACGTTTGACTTGAGCAAGTCATTTCGGTGTGTTTCAGCGACCCGAGTTCGGTGTTCTTCAGCTGTGTAGACAAATTACCGGCCCTTCTACCTCCTTGTCACTATTCATTAGAGCCGGCCCTTCATCCCTCACGGCCCTTTTGTTTAATTAACTTCATTCTGTCGACGATAAGCGCCCATAAACAAACTGGGGCGCGGTCGTTGACGTCACAGTTATAATATTAAGTGACTTTTCTTCTTGTATAAACAGCTTGAATGGAACAGATAGCCTATGAAACGCCTATATCATTTATAATTTATAATTAGGACCGTTTAAGCTTCACATAACGACAAAAATAGTAATGGAACTCGAGTTGCCGTAACTATCTCGTGTTCTCCACACCTGTGAACTATTCGAGCACGTGTATATGATTCGTGTGCAATATTACGTCTGGCCTTTGAAAAAATTTGTCTGGTTAGAAGATCCGGCATAAAGACAATTTGTATATTAACTGTATCAACTTTTTATATGTATTTTAATACTTATTGAAAATCATAGGTGTTCAGTTTTCCTACATTTATTTCTTACAGTTTCTATCATTCATTATGGCTGATATGTATTGTATTATATTTTATTTTCGTCTTCCTGTCACTCTCCTCTGTCTGAATGATTCACACTCTCACTCTCACTCCCTCTCCCTCTTCCTCTCTCTCTCTCTCTTTCTCTTTCTCTTTCTCTCTCTCTCTCTCTCTCTCTGTCTCTTTCTCTCTCTGTCTCTTTCTCTCTCTCTCTCTCTGTCTCTTTCTCTCTCTGTCTCTCTCTCTCTCTCTCTCTCTGTCTCTTTCTCTCTCTGTCTCTTTCTCTCTCTCTCTCTCTCTCTCTCTCGTGTCAATTTCTCTCCTTTTCTTTGGTTTTTCTTCTTCGCCTCTTTTTTAAATGTTTTTTTTTTCTTAGCTCGTATATTTTGGTTTTATTCTATAGTAAAGTTTTTTGCCTTTAAGCATAACCGTTTGCTATCGTACACCCTTTGAGATTGATAGAGTTAACCCATCTTCCTCTTTTTTCTTTTATCCTTTCAATTTTAAATCCTTCTTTAATCATTTAATCTACTACTCAGTAAACTGTATTCAATAAATTTTCTTTATACTTGACTTGCAATTTTAGATGTTTCTTCTAAGAAGTCTTTTTTTTTAAGAATACTGTCTGTAAATTAATACCACACCCCACTGAGGTATGTGTATCTGTTTTTCTATGATGTTAGGCCTGGCTCGTTTAATTTAAAAGTAATTGGCTAATGGTAAGACATCCCGTAAAACAAAATTACCCATAAAATTGATCTAGATAAAATGCCCGCTCTATGGACCATTTCGTAAGCGTAAAAATGGCTGTTATTTTGGTAGAATTTAAGCTTCCAAATGGATTAGAATAAAGTGAAATATTAATACTATTATTTTTATAATGAAAGGCGTGGAAATATATTTATTATGACTGTGGAGGGAGTGTCTGACGTATATAATAATCTTGTTATGTGTTAGCTCTGTAGTCACTTCATGGGCTTTTAATGAACTTCCTTCCCTTTTCTCCCCTTGCACGCCACCGCGGTGAAAGTAAAAAAAGTTACACCTTTTTCTGCGGAAGGGTCCCACACGATAATATAATGCGTAGTGAAATGATGAAGGTGGGACGAGTATGTAGATTCACTTTTTGAAAATGATAGTTCTACTCACAGATATGTTTTTACAATGTCCGGATTTCAGGCATTGAACGCTCATCATCAGGTTGAAGGAGTTACAAACACCTCCTCTCGGCGTGTATTGTAAGAGTGAATCCGCAAACTCGATGTTCCAATGAGAAGCTGATATTTAACACTGCTCAATTTTGAACGTGTGAAAAACGTGATTTACAACACAACTAAATATTACCCTAATAATGTAATTAATACTGTAAGAAAATAAGTTTAAATTAGTCTATTAATTTGTGTGTCAAATATAATTTAGGTACGTGTTTAACACCCTTTAAAATTGTTTAAACTTTTCGTACTTAAAACTGTCCATAGCAAATATTATCCTCCATAAAAAAATATTATTCTAATTGAAATAGACGTTATTTAGAAAGCCCACAGACACCATGACACCAGCAGATTCTTCTCACCCATGAATCTAAAAATCTGCTGGATTCATTTGGCTCGTAGACCGTATGTTGAAACTCCCATTAACACCATAAAAGAATTACAAACAATTAAAACCTTACGTAAAAACAATGGATTTCAAGAGAAATTTACTGACAGGTTGTTAGTAAAAAAATATTAAAATAACTTTAAAAGGAGCAACAATCGTACTCAGCCACCCCACCAAAAATGAATTTTTAGGATTTTGTTGCTTGTCATACATTGGTGAACTATCAGAAAAGTAGGTAAAATTATTAAACGAGGTTTTTTAGAGGTGCATTTTTGTTTAGGAACATCCTCTCTGAACCTAAAGACAAGGTTGACAACCTGTCAAAAAATAAACGAGAGATAAAGAACACTGGCCTAAATCGAACAAATTTTCTGAATTTGGGACCATCAAAATGAAACAGAACACAATTTCAATTTAAATTTAAATACAACAGTGTTACGCAATTTCAACAAAGGGAGAGAACTAGATATAAAAATGTAAAATTAAACATGGAGATAAATGCATAAATTAGTAGATTTTGATCTATCTCCTATTTTAAACATGTACCTAAATAATATTTGACATATAATCACTTATTTATTATTATTTTCTGAGAGTATTTATATTTACATTTTTCGTACGTTCAAAATTGAGCGGCATCAAAATCCAACTTCTCATTGAAAGGTCGC